AACGCATTGCCGCCACTCGTCCGGTTGTTGTTCCTGTTCCTACTGTTGTTGCTGTTATCGTCATCATCGTCCTCCTCCTCCTCCTCGTCGTCGTCGTCGTCGTCGCCAGCACCATCGCCGCGGTGGTTCACAAGCTGATGCCGCTGCTGCTGCTGGTCACCATCGTGTCTGTGCCGATGTTGGCGGTGGTGGCGGTGTTCGTGTTCTTCCTTCCCCTTCCTCTTCTCCTTCTCCCGCTGCTTCTTAAGTTTCTTCTCGCGCTTCCTCTCTTTACGCTCCCGCAGCAACTGTGCGTGGCGCTCCGTCGCCTCCGCCACGCGGCGCTCCGCCGCTGATGCAGCCGTACGCCACTCCTCCATCTCCGCATCACTCGGGTCCACAATAGTGGCGGCCGCACTTCTATCATTTCCCCCTAGTTCCTGTTTCTGTTTCTGCTGCTGCTGCTGACTTACCTCACGTTTCTGCAGCCGGTAGGAGCACAGCTCCTCCATAAATGTCGGTGCTGTCTTCTTCTTGCCTGCGATGCCGTTGCTGCTACCGGTCTTGCCCACGCTGCTGCTGCTGCCACTGCACAAACGCGAGGGGAACGCGTTAGAGGGGACCTCGAGCAGCTGTCGCATCAGCTGGCGCGAGGCGATAGTGCGCTCATTGCGCGGGCATTCGCAGTCGAATGTCTGCAGCGTTCGTGTGTACCCGCGGCGGTGCATAAACTCCCGCAGGAGCGCCTGCGCCAACGCGTCCACCTGCTCACGCACCGTCAGTGCGGCAATGGTGTCCATGTCGACCCCGCCTACCTTTGCCTGTCTGCCGCTGCTGCTGGCTGCCCCCTGTGGCTGATGCTGCTGTTCGCGTTGTTCGTCCTCTGTATGTGTAGATGGCACAGCGCGGCGCGGTGGCTCCCCGTCGTGGGCGCCACCGCCACTGCTGATCATATATATATATATATATATATATGTGTGTGTGTGTGTGTGTGTGTATACCCACAGACTCCAACACGCAGACTAATAACTGATTCCGTTCTCCCAGCTTCCACCACCAGAACAGAAATAGGGAGTCAGAAAGAGAGAGGGAGAGAGAGCCAGTGAAAAGGGAATAGGGCATGAAATGTACAGCAGGAACGAAGGCCATGAAGAAGAGGACGACGAAGCGGGGAGGAAAAACCCCACCCCTTCACCTCTCACCAATGCGCCTCGACTCATTCTTCGTCTTCCGTTCGCGTTCACGCCCAGCTGCTGCTGCTGCATCGTCATGAGTGGCGCGTACACCGCGCGGTGCATGTGCGTGGGTGCGCCCACACAATAGAGTGAATGTAAGGGCCCTCAGTGGGGAGCTGAGGAGTTGGGGTAGCGGGGGTTGTGCGCGTGTGTGTGGGGGGTAGAGGGAGGAAACACACACACACACACATATAATATATACAGAAAGAGAGAGAAAGACAAGAGTGAGAAAAATGATTGCTGCGGCGAAGACAAAATAAGATAGAAAGCAATCACACAAACAGTCACGCCCAGACAAGCACGCGGCAGGAACAGAAACGCCAGCAGCCAGTCGCGTCTTGCACTTTGCTCCTGCTGTTACTCCCGCTGCTGCTGGTGATGGTGGTGGTGGTATCTATGCATGGGCACCTGCGTGTGCGTCCGCGCAGAAAAATAGGACGCGACATCTGTGCCCAGACTGCAGCAGCAACAACGACAAGGAGCCGATGAGTGAGAGAGAGAGAGAGAGACGAGGAAGGCACACAACCGCCGCCCACACGCACAGCGCTGCACACGCACACACACACATCTCAGGGAATGCGGTGCCTGGAACGCTCCCCTCTCTCTCTCTCTCGCTCCTACGCAACTATAATCCCTCTCTCCCGCTCTCGCACACCTCTTCACACACATGCTCACACCTCTCTCTCTCTCTCTCCCTCGCTCGCTCTTTACCACTTCTTCTCACAGGTGGTCTTCTCTCTCCTTTGGCACGCATACATCTCGTTCTCCCATCGC